CTTTGTGTGCTAGGTGTCCTATAGGGCCCAGTGGCTTAGCCTCCCCAATTACCTGAGGTGGACACTCTTGGTTCACCCCTTTGTGGGCTGTGTGCACAGTCTTGTTGTAGTTAAGCCTTGATTGTTGTAGGTATCACTGGGAGGAATTGACCTCCAGGCCAATTGGCTGTGAGAATCAGCTGTGTCTACAGTGGGAGAACTTCTGTGCTGAAGACACCCTTATGGGGCAAGACTTGCTTCAGTGGGGCTTTGGTGCTCACTGAGTCTGCCCCTGAGTGTGTCCCTTATGGATCTGAGGAGTTGTAGTCTGGATGGTCCCACTCTGACCACTGGGTACACTGGCTCTTGGATCTAAGGAGGTGCTAATTTAGCCTCTGCCTGAGGCTACCTAGCAGGAGCAATGGAGAGATCTGCAGATTCCCCTTCCTTGTTTGGGGTTTGGAGGTGCCCAGATGAGGCCCAGCTGTGAAGCAGTGCAAGCTTCTGTGGGGCCTTGGGCCTTCTCTTGGAAGTTCTGGGTCTGTCTGGCCCAGCTGCAGTTTGTTAGGTACTTTTCAGATTGCAAAGGGCCAGGGCATTCATATGCAAAATCCTCTGCCCCAGCTTGAGTGGGGCAGGGTCTCAGGGGATCAACAGGGCGGAGCAAGCAGCTATGGCTGATCCTGAGCCCTGCCCTAAGGGGCCCCGCGTCTCAGTGTCCCGGTTATTGCTGTAAGCACCTCCGAGAGAAAGCTGCCCTCGAGTTCTGCCCGCTGCCAGACCGTCCAGTATCTCCCCGCACGAGTCCGGGTCCCCAGAGACTTCCAAGAACTGGAGTTCAGAGCAGTCAGAGGCTTGTGACTCCCTCCAGATTCAAAAAGACAGCCGTGTTCTCAGTTGCCAGCCCTTGCTGTGTGCGCCTCTGTACCTCTGCACTCTACCTCCGCAGCTCCTCTGAGTCTCAGTGTGCTTTTCTCTTTCCTTCTAGTTGTAGAATTTCCACTCAGCCAGCCTTCCTGTAGTTCTGGATGATGTCCGTTTTGTCTTTTAGTTGTATTTTTGAATTTGTTGTGGGAGGCAGCAATTTCTGGTGTTTATCTATGCCGCCATCCTGGTTTCTCTTCTCATTCTTGCACGAATCTTTGTGCATCAGGCCTCTAGTCTAATCTAATAAAAGAGAAACATGCAAAGTGACTGCACCTCCGGTACGCCCCAGGCTACACCCACCAGCCAATCAGAGTGACAATATGCAAATTAACCCAACCAACATGGCGGCTGGCAGCCACGGAGCTGGATCAAGCAGGCAGCTTGGTTGCCCCGGCGATGGAGGAAGCCAAGCTTCCCGCCTGCCCTGGCTGGCTGTGGCGTCTGCTCAAGGCAACAAAGTTTCAATTATAGAAGATAAATAAATCCCAGATACCTGCTTCCAGCCAGCCTCCACTGGGAGCTTGGGTGGCTGGGGGCCGTGGCCAGCCTGCAAACAGTCATCAGCCCCGCACCCAGGATGGCTACACCCTCATTGGGTGAGGGTCCCCTCTGGGGGGCTTGGCCAGCCTGCAAACAGACATCAGCCACTCACCCAGACTGGCCAGGCAGCCAGCAGAACCCCCTCACCCTGAAGAGGGTTTGGCCAGCCTGCAAACAGCCATCAGCTCTTCATCCAGGCTGGCCAGGCACCCCAGCGGGAACCCCCACCCTGATCCAGGACACCCTTCAGGGCAAACCAACTGGCCCCCACCCATGCACCAGGCCTCTATTCTATATAATAAAAGGGTAATATGCAAATTTACCCTAACAGCAGAACGACTGGGAATGACTGGTCACTATGACACACATTGACCACCAGGGGGCAGATGTTCAATGCAGGAGTTTCCCCCTGGAGGTCAGCGCGCTCCAACAGGGGGAGCTCTGCTTAGCCACAAACCATGCTGACGGCTGCCAGTACAGTGGTGGTGGTGGGAGCCTCTCCCACCTCCTTAGCAGCACTAAGATTGACCGACTGCAGCTAGGCCTGCTCCTCGCTGGCAAGTGGAAATCCCCCTAGGGTTCCCGGGCTGCCAGAGGGATATCTGACTGCCAGCTTAGGCCCGACCCCCCGTGGAGCAGGCCCAAGCCAGCAGGTGGTCATCCCCTGAGGGGTCCCAGACTGTGAGAGGGCACAGGCCAGGCTGAGCCCCCCCACCGAGTGCATGAATTTCTGTGCACCGGGCCTCTAGTATTTTATATTTTTGTGCACTGGCCCTCTAGTGTGTGTATGTGTGTGTGTGTGTATATATATATATATATAAAGCTTGTGTCTGTGATGACCAGGATAACCCAAGGACCAGTCACCATGCGGTGCTAGCATAGAAACCAACCAATCAGAACCTAATCTGGGTGAATTGGAAAGGCAGTTTCTTCACGGAGCTCACATTGTAAGAAGGTTAGGTCAAGGATGAGAATTCAAAATTGCCACCAGCACAGACCTGAGGTGCTGCTTCTCAGAGTGGCCAAGGAGACACCCAGTAGCAGACTGGGGGCGTGACTGAAGGGCTGGTGCTGACATGAAGGCAGGGCCGTTCTGGATTTCCCAGAGGAGCCAATGGCTGCCTAGGAGGTGGAGCTTTTGATGCTGACTGGCATAGAAACAGACCAATCAGAACCTAATCTGGGTGAACTGCAAAGGCAGTTCTATTTAAAGCAGGCTATTTAAAGCAGTGATTCTTTTAAATTGGGACTTTTACATTACTTACAATACGCATTCTGTACTTTTCTCCTCCTTCCTCCCCAAATGTATACTTTTCACTTCAAAACGACAGCCTGTGTGCATAGACATAGGTAAAGTTTGTGAGTGAACTAAGAATGAACGAGACAAATGCTTGCCTTCACGGAGCTTGCACTGTAAGAAGATTAGCTCAGGGACGAGAATTCAAAATTGCCACCTCAGGGTGCCGCTTCTCAGAGCAGGGAGGGATACACCCAGTAGTGGACTGGGGGCGTGACTGAAGGGCTGGCACTGACATGAAGGTGGGCCATTCTGGGTTTCCCAGAGGAGCCAATGGCTGCCTCAGAGGCAGAGCTTTTGATGCTGACTGGCATAGAAACCAACCAATCAGAACCTAATCTGTGTAAACTGAGAAGGCAGAACCTAAGGTGGGGTCTGAGGAGGGGTTTTAAGGGCAACAGCTGTTTGGTGTAAGGTGTAAGAAAGTGGTTCAATTTTTTATTGGCCTGTAACATAAATGTTGGTTGAGAGATTCATGGTGATTCGCTAATATGTTTTTGTTTCTATCTATCCCTTATATCCTTCTGAAAAAAATTAACTTGAATTTTTTCTGCTTCCCATTGTACTACGAGTATGTGCCCATTTTAGATAATCTTCACATGTATTGCTACATTTTCCCACCTGGTATCCTGTTGCATTTTTTTGCAGTGTGAACACTAGTAGGCATGAGTTCATTCTGTAATTCCAGAATTTAAGTGTATTTCTTTGTATTTTTCTTGAAGATATTTCTATTAAAATGTTACTGAAAACATAAAATGAATCCTAAATGATCTATAGAATGTTTCAAAGCCAACTATTTTAAAACTAGATATCTGATTACATAGCTGTTATCTATTGAGATATTTTTAAATTGGGGCAAAAGTCAAAGAAGCAATGAAAGTTATCATTCATTTATTTTTCCTAGGAGTTTCTTTGAGTTGCTGCTTTTTTTTGGAAGAGATGAGTTTTATGAAGAGCCCTTAAAGGATATTCTTGGATCATTCCAGGTAAAACAATTTACTATTTTACATTTTGTCTATATATAAAACAGGCCTTTATTCTCAACCTAAAAGTAGTATATTGGTTACTTATTGCTTATAAGTTTTTAAATTTACTCAGGTGGTAGTGCTTAAGATCCTGTTATACTGGTGGGAAAAAAAAGTTTCGTAAAATGAATTTTAGCTGTATTTGTAAGCAGTCCGTAGATAGGATTCCAATTCTACATTTGCTATACCAGAGCCTATTACCACCACCCTGTAGATTCTTAAGCACATCCTGGACACAAACTCATTTTTTATTGCTGCAGGCTTTGGTTTCAAAGCTCCATGAAGATCTGCCCGTAGCTAGACTCAGGCTGTGTGTCCCATGCCACGCTTCCCCTTGTCTATACCCTGATTTTCTCATCTATTTTCTCAATAGTCTCCCCAAGATAGGAGGCAGATGTTTTTTGCATTCTCTATGAGAGAAGAGAGTAAAAAAATACACAGGAACATTCCTGTAGATGGCAAGAACATTTGATCTTTTTACCATTTACTTAGCAAGAAATAACCTAGTACTGTGGCTCACTAATATGTCCTTAGCACTTCTCTGGGGTGGAATAAAGGAAGATGTGCTTTGAGCTCCCCCTAGGGGTAAAATGTTCAGACAAAGTATCTTACATTTATTCCTGTGGTGTTAACCACAAAGGCTGATGGTCAACCATTAGTATTCCTGTCCACCTTTAGGAAGGAGATCCACAGAGTAACAGAAGAATCATGTGATACTGTATTTCACCTAGAATTTTTATTTTATATTTATTGAAAGCAAGCTTTTAGATTGAATAGATTTTTATTATCAATTACTCTGGTGTATACACAAAACATGAAAATTATAAGCAAACTTAATTGGCTAAGGCATATCTAAAACATCTTCACATTCAGAATCTGAGTCTAGATATGCTTTTCCACTCAGTCATTGATGTCTGTTTTTCTATACCATTTTGTCTTCAGTGACATGAAAAGTGTTGATAATGTAGCATTTCCTAAAATAATAGAAGAACTAAAGTCATTGGTACTTGGCTTTAAAAAGTTTAAGCTGGCTTTATGGTCCTGTTTAGCCAATTTTTGACTCCTGCTTCAGAGGTGTTGTTAAGTTGGATTAATTACCCTACACCCATCCCACATCTTTGGTTCCCAAGAGTTAATAAAGTACTCTGCCAGTCTCAGATTTTATTTTGAGTCACCAATATACCCTTTTGCAAGTGTCCATGATGTCTTTGAATGTCCATTCAAGCAGAATGACAACTATATAACGACCATTACCAGGTTGACAATGGATTCTAAGATATCATTGAATATACAACATTCTGATTTTAGAGTTGTACAAATATGAAAAAATGCATGTTACAATCAATTAAATTAGGAACATTACATTGAACATTTTACTCTATCCATTTTTATATTCAGCAAAAGGTAAAAATACCTGTTGTTATGGAGCTTACATTTTAATTAGAGCCTATATTCAAGTATTTAAAACATTGATTTTCCATTTAGTTTTTCCTTTGACACTTGTGTTCTTGGCAATCCATTCTTAAACTTTTACTCAGCAAATATTTATTGAGTTCCCTCTGTGTGCTAGGTTCGAAGCTCTGGGACAAACAGTAGTAAGCAAAAACAGAAATACCTTGTTATTGTGGAGTTTAATTCTAGTGTGGAAACAGAATGACAATAAACCAAATTGTAAATTAAGAGTATTTTAAACGACTTAGCGAAAAATGATGGAGACCAGGGAGATAGGGAATGCTGGCATAGTGGTATTGGGGAGGAAATTTCAGTTTTAAATGGATCGTCAAGGAATTCCTCATGGAGATGTGGTCTGTGTATTGACAATGGAAACCAATGAAGTGTCCATGGAGTAGATGACTTGTTTTAGATGTATAAAATCATAACATTTTGAAGGGATATAGTCTTTTTTTTTTTTTTCTTGTGAGCAGGGTTTCCATTCAGTTATCAGTATAGTTATTTCCTCAAGGGAGGGTTTATGGATTTTGTATCTCCTACTCAAATTCTAAAGCCCACCACCCTTTCTCCTTTTTGTTGTTTTTTACAATTTCTCTGCCATTTCTGTAATTGTGTTGCTGTGGCCTCTTCCCCTTTTCTTCAGCCTTTTTAACTCTTGCCTCCTAGGAGAGACTTCACCTTTTGTTCCCATTTTAGCTTTACCTAGATAATCGTCATCCATTTTCTGAACTCAGCTATTGCTGCTGGTGCTTCCCAGGCCTGTGCCCTTAGAGCCCCAGGGAGGCCAACATGCAGTACATCCCCTTAAAACTGGGGTGTGTAATGTCTGGCTCGTGGGCCATATAAGGCCCGAGAAATCAATTGTTCTGGCCCTGTCCAGGCACTAGGGGTGAGTTAATTGTTTGACCAAATATAGGCTAATTTTTAAGTTGCTAATTGTGTATAGCCTGCAAATGACGTTATAAATATCCAAATGGCCCTTGGCAGAAAAAGATTCTCCACCCCTGCCCTAAAATCTTGCATTTACTAAGCTTTGTGGATTCTCCAAAGTTTTTGACTGACTTTTGATAATCCAATAGCCATCCGAGTGTCATCTTTGAAAATTAAAAAAAATTTTATATTGCTAGTGTAAACTATTTCCCCAAGTGGTTTCCTTCTGTCCATCTTTCATACCAGCTTAAGATCATGCTCTTTCTCCTCTACCATGTACCTGGGGGTCTTGTTAAAATGCAGATTTATGACTCAGTAGTTCTGGGGTGGGGCCTGTGAGTCTGCATTTCTAACAAGCTCAGAGGTAATACCTATAGTGCTGGTACCTGGATCACACTGAGTCCGCAATGGATTAATATTCTTTTAGTTAATTATTCCTTCTGTATCCACCCTCCACTCCCTGTCCCCATATTCCAACTATAAGTATACTAGCTTTGCTACTCATGCTGTCATCTTGGGTAGTTTCTTTGTCTGTTTCTTCATTTGTGAAATGAGGACAATACTGTACTTGCTGCATAGGATCATCAGCTTGGCATCATTCTTAGCAAAACATCTGACTTAAAGTTTAAGGCAGGCCTTATAGCCTGTCTGGTGAAGGGTGTGGCCTTTGATGTCATACTACTTGGACTTACCTGTTTTCACAATAAAACCAAAACCTAGCCCTTAATTATAAGCTTATTCTGTTCTTCCATTGATTTCTTTTTTTAAAATAAACAATTAATAAGTTATTTTTATTTATTTATTTGTTAATCCTCACATGAGGATATTTTTTCATTGATTTTTAGGGAAAGTGGAAGAGAGAGGGAAAGACAGAGAGAAACATAGATGTGAGAGAAACACATTGATTGGTTGCTTTCTGCCCAAGCCCTTACCAGGGCCCGGGCTGGGGAAGAGCCTGCAACCAAGGTACATGCCCTTGACTGGAATTGAACCCGGGACCATTTGGTCCGCAGGCCGATGCTCTATCCACTGAGCCAAACCGGCTAGGGCCTTCCATTGATTTCTGATATAAAACCTGAGATGTTCAAGTAGAAATTTTTAAGTCTTATCCACTGACTATAATTTTCCTCTGGCTTATTCCCAGAAGAAACTTCAATCTTAGAGCCAGATGTTCCACTCACTGGCTTCTAACAGTTTGCTTTTTTATCCCTTGGTTTCCAATAACTTATTTTTTTTTTTTTTACCTCAACACAAGAAGATGACACATTTCTAATATGATGCACTTACCTCACTATTATTATATTTAATCTGTTCATTGGTGAATTTTCCATAGGCTTGTGATTGAATTCATACAGTAGGCCTCTAGACGCCATTAGTTTAGTGACATTTTCTAGATTCCCAGTGAAATTACAAAAATAACATAAAATAAGGAAAAAAATTCCTTATGAAAGATAGAAAGGACGAAGACCTGTATCAAGAACTTGGACAAACCAGATTGAGAGTTGGGCCAAACAATATTTGATTAACTGAATGCAATTAAATAGGGGAATTTGAGAGAGAGAGAGAAAGAGAAGTGGGATCTCCCAGTGCTATCTAGTAATGCCCTCCTCTCCTCACACCCACACATCAGTGTATAATAAGAGGGGCTGGAGGAAATAGTAGATGGTAGGGCATTTGGTGTGTGGTCCGTGTCATTTTTGTTGGTGCTTTAAAAAAAAAAAGTTTTTAGTTTGTTAATCCTCTCATGAAAAATCTGCACAGTCACCACAGATAAAGGCACTGAAGAATCTTTACTCTTTCTGTTGTCCAGTCTCCAGCTCACTTTTTGTCAGCACCAACATTGACCTTTATAGTCCCCTTGATTTTTTCCATTCTGTTCTTGTGCTCCTTTTGCTGTTGTCTTGAGGTCTTCTTCTTGACATACTGGTCATGTCTTGCAAGTCTGTGTTTGGGTTCATTTTTCTTTGCATAATTTAAGGAATCAAATCATGCCAAAGCCAGTAAGTGGTCTTGCCACCACTAAAATGGGTTCTGAATGCAAATACAAAGATGACATCTGGTATGGTCTTATACATTTTGGCCAGTTTTTCACGAATTTTCTGTCTTAGGGTGCCTGCTTAGGTGAAGGATGTCAGTGATCATTTGTTCCCACTGAAATAGTCTGTTGGTCATGAACTTCCTTATCCAGATAGTTACTGTGTTGTTCATGATGGAGGCTAATATTCAAGCAGCCAGAGAGGAAAAGAGTTGTTGGTGCTTCTTGAAAGTTTAGCAAGTGTGCACCAGAGCCCACAGAACAGGAATTGTGATATGACTGTTATACCTACATTAAAAATGGGATGTATGACTCTGCATGAGAGCATTCCTTCCATCGAGAGAATGAAGATATATCCCAAACCAAATGTAGCCTGTCCCAATACCCAGAGGTGAGAGAATCTTGAAAAGGTATGGTTGTCTCCCATGTAGTTGCCTCTTTACTGCCTCATAGGCCATTGATCTACCAAATGAAAACTTCTCCTTCTCTTTTGCTTTGGGCTCAGGATTCCACAGAGAGACTTATTTACCCATTAGTAAAACAG